CACGGTCCTTGAAAAAAGTTTCCGTGACATGTCCTACACGCTCCTCCGAGTTTTTTCAAATTTAACCTTCATTATCCAACTGATACCGTCTTTTTTTTAGACTAATTAAGATATTATCGAGCCAAATTTAAATATAAACATTAAATTATTAATTTTCCAGACAAGTGGTTGTTGTATTTATTATCTATCAATTCAAAGCCTGAAGTACCTAAATTAGTATATATATGCAGGTTAATCGTTGCGACGGTTATAATTCTTCTTAATAAGTAATATGAAGACTATTGCAACGTTACTTTTAGGTAAGGCAGTTACGTTAGCTGTTTTTTTTGTTTGTACCTAACCGAACTGTAGCGATAATAATTTCGTTTTATTTTACTCAAGTCGCTTTCATGGCTCTATCCTGGAGCTGCGGAGAAGCCAAGACTTGTGCTGGATGTAAGCCTGATGGCAGAATTGTTTGTGCTCAAGAAGAAAACACCGGCGCTCTAGTGGCCTTCGGAAATGATTGTTACATGAAACTGTACAATTGTTTGATTGGAACCGGTGAGTAGCAAAATGAAAACAAAGTAAAGGGAATACGTGGAAGGGAATGTGTTTTGAAAAGTAACCAAAAAAAAATGAAATACTATTTCCTGAGGAAGTCTTTTTACAACGAAATACTAATGTAAAACCTCAATATTTTTTACAGACTACAGATTCTTGGAATATGGCCAATGTCCAGGTAAGTCGGAACGCAGATTGAGTGACTTTTCTAAAAACTGAAAGATTACTGTAGTAATTTTGATTCCTTTATTTTACAGATCTTAAATCCCTAAGTAAAGGCGAAACAGAATCCTTAGACCAAGCCAAGGCACAATAAATTTATTATCTACATGTGTAATACTAAAAATGTACTACAACTTGTTTTTTCAATTTTCTTTATAATAATAAAATATTCATGTTTTTCATTGTCTGTTTGTCTATCTAGATACAAATCACAAAACGTTGCATATAACAATTGCGAACTTTATAACACAACCTTCGTTCTGTAACTGGCGAAGTTTTTTTTTCATTATTATAATAGAATTAAGACATTATCAATCAAAATCTAAAGAAAAACACTCCATTTTGAATCTTCTAGACAACTGTTGCTATTGTTTTATCACCAGTTTAACATATGTTGAGTACATCAATTGGGGTGAGTGAAGTAGCTGGTATTTCGTATTTTGTAAATCCTCTTTTACAAAGAAATAATATGAAGACAATTTCAGCGTTACGCTTAAGTAATTCTTGGCTGTATCCTGGAGCTATAGTGAAACAGGATTCTTTGGGAAAGCCCAGGAACGTTCGGGTTCTACTGACGAATACGAACGTGTTTGTGGCATTAACGAAAGAGGCAATAGAGTAACTTTCCGAAATGTTTGTGAATTGGACGAAATGAATTGCGAGGAAAGGCAGGGTGTGATGTAAATATGAATAAGAAAACAAAAATACAAACCTGCTGAAATAACAGCCGTTAAAGTTTTGAACTCATGTTTCCGCTAAATGAAAGAGGATGTAGTCTCTACCGACGAAGTAAACCGGTTCAATTGCCTGAAAAGATTTTCGAAAAAGTTAACGCGACATGTTAAAAACACGGTCCCCCGAGTTTTTTCACATGTAACCTTCATTATGTAACTGACAACGTCTTTTTCTTGGAAGTATTTAAGTTATTATCAAGTCAAATGTAAATAGAAACACTTAATTTTTTTATTATCCAGACAAGGGGCTATTGTATTTATTATCAGTTCAAAGCCTGAAGTACCTAGATTGGTATATTTAAGCAGGTAAACCTTTGCAACTGTTACAAATTGTTTCTTATCAACAGATAACATGAAGACCATTGCAACGTTACTTTTAGGTAAGGCAGTTACTTTATTTTTTATTTTTGTTTTTTGTACCTAACGAAACTGCAACGACAATAACTTTGTTTTATTTACTCAAGTCACTTTCATGGCTCTATCCTGGAGTGGCGGGGAAGCCCAGAATGGGAGTTGCGGTAATTGTTCGAATCAAGGGGAAATCGTTTGTGGTCATAATCCTATAAACAACGCATATGTAGAATTCACAAACGTTTGTTACATGAACCTATACAATTGTTTGACCGGAAACAGTAAGTATAGTAAAAGAAAGAGAAAGTAAAAGGAATATGTGAAAGAGAATGTGCTTTGAAAAATAACCAGAAAAATGAAATACAATCTTTTTGTAATGACGATACTAAAGCGGAACCTCAATATTTTTTGCAGACTACCAATTGGTCAGATACGGTCGTTGTCCAGGTAAGTCGGAATGCAAATTGTGTGACTTCTAAAATCTAAAACATTAGCCAAAATGACTAATAATTTCGGATCATTTTCCAGGTCGTCCTTCTGATAACCCGAGCTCTAATGAAACAGACACCTCTGATCGCCAGTGGTGATGGTCAGGAATGGATCAGATGATTTTGAAAATAAATTTGGATGAAATTTAATACATGCAGGGAATAAAAATATGTATTAGTTAATAAATTATTAAATTTACGTAAAATAGCTGTCANAACAAACGCGTTCGCTGTCATACAAACATACTATTTGGTATCTACTTACTACGAAAATTCGAAGTGAATATACCTACAAACTAGGTACGGGCATAAGATCATCAACGACTGCATTGTTTTTCTGGATAAAAAGTACCCTAATATGTCCTTCCTGTACCCCTGAAAATGACACTGTTTGAGTAGTTAAGGCGTAAATTCGTTTTAAACAAACTATCTCACATTTACATTTATAATATTAGTTAGGATTATTGACATCACAAAATTCCTAAGCTATAACCTACTCCTACACGACAAAACTGCTGAAATAATTGCTGCGGAAGATTTGAATTCCTGTTTTTGCTATATGATAGAGAGTGTAGCCTCCTCTACAGACAAGATAAAAATGTCCAATTGCGTCAAAAGATGTTGAAAAAAGTTTCCGTATCACATGTCCTACACGCTCCTCCGAGTTTTTTCAAATTTAACCTTCATTATGTTACTGGCAACGTCTTTTTTTTGGGAGCGTTTAAGATATTATCGAATTAAATCTAAATAAACATATAATTTTTAATTATCCAGACAAGGGGCTATTGTATTTATTATCAGTTGAAAGCCTGAACTACCTAGATTGGTATATATAAGCGGGTAAACCTTCGCCACTGTTACAAATTGTTTCTTATCAACAGATAACATGAAGACCATTGCAACGTTACTTTTAGGTAAGGCAGTTACGTTAGCTTTTATTTTTGTTTTTTGTACCTAACGAAACTGCAACGACAATAACTTTGTTTTATTTACTCAAGTCACTTTCATGGCTCTATCCTGGAGTGGCGGGGAAGCCCAGAATGGGAGTTGCGGTAATTGTTCGAATCAAGGGGAAATCGTTTGTGGTCATAATCCTATAAACAACGCATATGTAGAATTCACAAACGTTTGTTACATGAACCTATACAATTGTTTGACCGGAAACAGTAAGTATAGTAAAAGAAAGAGAAAGTAAAAGGAATATGTGGAAGGGAATGTGCTTTGAAAAATAACCAGAAAAATGAAATACAATCTTTTTGTAATGACGATACTAAAGCGGAACCTCAATATTTTTTGCAGACTACCAATTCGCCAGATACGGTCGTTGTCCACGTAAGTCGGAATGCAAATTGTGTGACTTCTAAAATCTAAAACATTACCCAAAATGACTAATAATTTCGCATCATTTTACAGGTAGTGATTCTGAATCCCCGAGCTCTAATGAAACAGACACCTCTGATCGCCAGTGGTGATGGTCAGGAATGGATCAGATTATTTTGAAAACAAATTTGGATGAAACTTAATACATATGTTCCATATGCAATAAATAAAAATATGTATTAGTTAATAAATTATTAAATTTACGTAAAATAGCTGTCATATTTATGAATTATTTTTTAAATAAGTATGAACGCAATATAACGTTATATCAACGCTATTTCATGCATTCGTGCATTTATAAAAATTATCTGTAGTTTGATAACGACACTACGGAAGCTATAACGTACTCCTACACGACAAAACTGCTGAAATAACTGCTGCCAAAGTTTGGAATTGCAGCAGCATGCAGCCACTGTATAACGTAATATTAATAAATTCGAAACTAATTAATTAAAATCTTCTAATCGTATACTAACCTTGCAGTCAATGGTTTTTCTATTTCTGTTTCTACTCATAATTTGTGACTAGATTTCACTCGTTTTAATTTTTCTATAGGTGGTCCGGGAAGAGTATTTTGGTCTGACTAAAAGATACCTTATGCCTTTTTCCGTACCATTGACAATGTGTGTACCAAAAATGCATGATACGTTTTACCTGCGGCTTCGTTGTCGTCGATGTCCTAAATATGTGTCAAAGATCATCAACGTCCACGTAAAACTAATCTTTCTACCCCTCAGGAACAGTATTGCTCTTCTGGATCAAATGTACCCTAAAATGTCTATCCTGTACTCCTGACAATGATGATTGATTGAGTTGTTAAGGCGTGAAGTCGTAATAACCAAACAGTCCAACATTTGCATAATATTAGTAAAGATTATTGACGCCACAAAATTCTTAAGCTATAACCTATTCCTACACGACAAAATTACTGAAATAACTGCTGCTAAAGTTTAGAATTCCTGTTTTTGCTAGATATTAGAGAATGTAGACTCTACAGATGAGGTAGAAAAGTCCAATTACGTTAAAAGATTTTGAAAGAAACTTACCGCGTCATGTCGTACACACTCCTCAGAGTTTTTTCAAAAATTTAACCTTCATTATGTAACTGGCAACGTCTTGTTTTTTTGGGAGCGTTTAAGATATTATCGAATTAAATTTAAATAAACACTTAATTTTTAATTTTCCAGAGAAGTGGATATTGTATTTATTATCAATTCAAAGCCTGAAGTACCTAAATTCGTATATATAAGCAGATAAACCTTTACTACTGTTACAAGTCCAAGTCCTTTCTTATCAACAGGTAATATGAATACGAGTTCAGTTTTACTTTTCGGTAAGGCATTTACTTTACCTTTTATTTTTGTTTCTTGCACCTAACGAAACTGCAACGACAATAATATTGTTTTATTTTACTCAAGTCGCTTTCGTGGCTCTATCCTGGAGCTGCGGGGAAGCCCAGAATGGTTCTTGTGGTACTTGCCCGAATGGTGGCAAACCTGCTTGTGGCGTTAATATGAGAACCAACGCTCTAGTGCTTTTCACAAATCAATGATACATGGACCTATACAAGTGTTTGTCTGGAAACGGTGAGTAATAAACTAAAGGGAATATGTGGAAGGTAATGTGCTTTGAAGAGTATGCAAGAAATGAAATACTATCTCTTAAGAATTCTTTTCTGCAATGACAGTACTAAAGTGAAATCTCAATATTTTTTGCAGACTATCGATTCGTCAGGTATGATGATTGTCCAGATAAGTCGGAATGCAAACTGTGCGACTTTTCTAAAAACGATAAAAACTGAAACATTAGCCAAAATGATTGTAATAATTTTGATTCCTTCATTTTACAGTTTTGAAAACCCTGAGTAATGTCAAAGTGAATTAGGAAATCTAGAGAACCATTTTAATATGATTGCAAAATACTTGGAACAATTTACTTATAGTAAGTAAATTAAATCATAAGAAGTGATAACATTTGAAATAATCAAATCATTTATTTGCCGTACAGTAACAATAGAACAATCAGGACCAAAAAAGGGTGAAATAAATTTTGAGTGGATTACGTCTTTGATTACTCTATTACTTAGATAAAGGTTAATCCGATACGCTTTTCTTAACTTTCAGCGAGCAACGGTTAAGGCATGAATTTAACTAGTTTAATTTCTTTTTATAAACATTGTACAATAAATTTATTACCTACATGTGTAATACTAGAAATACCTACTTGTTTATTCAATTTTGCTTTATAATAATAAAATATTCATGTTTTTCATTGTTTACTTTTTAACACGTGTTTAATGACAACTACCCTTAGTGTTTCTCAGGAATTTAAAAACCAAAAGTATTTTAAAATAAAACGATATTAAATGAACGAATATGTTTTAAAAAAGTCCAACATTTGTTCTCGACAAATATCGTCAATAACAGTCTAATAAGTGAAACAGGATTCTTTGGGAAAGCCCTGGAATATTCGGGTTGTACAGACGGAAAAGGCAGCCTACTAATTATATATATTGTAGCGGCAGATAAGGACCTACACGTGGATTTTTTATATATAATACTTAATTGATAACACATTAATAACAGTCATTCGTTAGAAATGAACAAAACAGGTGTCGGTAGTAGAAAATTCCATTTTCAGTTTTTTTAATATATATAGCATTCGAACCAGCAAGATAAACAGATTTAATTTTATTATTATTATTAACTACGTAATAAATTAGTTTCGGCCGAAGATAATAATACACATCAAGGTTTTCAAATCCTCCAAGATTTTGGAAAAAAGTTACAGTAACATGTTAAAAACACGGTCCTTGAAAAAAGTTTCCGTGACATGTCCTACACGCTCCTCCGAGTTTTTTCAAATTTAACCTTCATTATCCAACTGATACCGTCTTTTTTTTAGACTAATTAAGATATTATCGAGCCAAATTTAAATATAAACATTAAATTATTAATTTTCCAGACAAGTGGTTGTTGTATTTATTATCTATCAATTCAAAGCCTGAAGTACCTAAATTAGTATATATATGCAGGTTAATCGTTGCGACGGTTATAATTCTTCTTAACAAGTAATATGAAGACTATTGCAACGTTACTTTTAGGTAAGGCAGTTACGTTAGCTGTTTTTTTTGTTTGTACCTAACCGAACTGTAGCGATAATAATTTCGTTTTATTTTACTCAAGTCGCTTTCATGGCTCTATCCTGGAGCTGCGGAGAAGCCAAGACTTGTGCTGGATGTAAGCCTGATGGCAGAATTGTTTGTGCTCAAGAAGAAAACACCGGCGCTCTAGTGGCCTTCGGAAATGATTGTTACATGAAACTGTACAATTGTTTGATTGGAACCGGTGAGTAGCAAAATGAAAACAAAGTAAAGGGAATACGTGGAAGGGAATGTGTTTTGAAAAGTAACCAAAAAAAAATGAAATACTATTTCCTGAGGAAGTCTTTTTACAACGAAATACTAATGTAAAACCTCAATATTTTTTACAGACTACAGATTCTTGGAATATGGCCAATGTCCAGGTAAGTCGGAACGCAGATTGAGTGACTTTTCTAAAAACTGAAAGATTACTGTAGTAATTTTGATTCCTTTATTTTACAGATCTTAAATCCCTAAGTAAAGGCGAAACAGAATCCTTAGACCAAGCCAAGGCACAATAAATTTATTATCTACATGTGTAATACTAAAAATGTACTACAACTTGTTTTTTCAATTTTCTTTATAATAATAAAATATTCATGTTTTTCATTGTCTGTTTGTCTATCTAGATACAAATCACAAAACGTTGCATATAACAATTGCGAACTTTATAACACAACCTTCGTTCTGTAACTGGCGAAGTTTTTTTTTCATTATTATAATAGAATTAAGACATTATCAATCAAAATCTAAAGAAAAACACTCCATTTTGAATCTTCTAGACAACTGTTGCTATTGTTTTATCACCAGTTTAACATATGTTGAGTACATCAATTGGGGTGAGTGAAGTAGCTGGTATTTCGTATTTTGTAAATCCTTTTTTACAAAGAAATAATATGAAGACAATTTCAGCGTTACACTTAAGTAATTCTTGGCTGTATCCTGGAGCTATAGTGAAACAGGATTTTTTGGGAAAGCTCAGGAATGATCGGGTTGTACGGACGAATGCGAACCTGTTTGTAGCGTTAAAGTTACATTGTTTCACGATTGTATAAAAATCGAAATTAAAATAAGTACAATTGTGAAATAAACACAAACCAATTCATATTTATTGTTGATATGTTGCGCCAAGTGATCATTGTGAAATGATGCTGTGCTCATTCGGTTCAGGATGTTCAGCTTCAGGAATGGAAGGACCTCGGGAGAAGCTCGGCACTCGTCCTACCTAAACGGTATTAGGAAACATCAACTCCAGTATACGCTGGCCTTTAACACCACAGTACAATAATTTAACAGTTATTTGTCTGCCATAAGGAAATCCAAAAGAACAATTTAATTTGCAACAGTATACGNGCACGAATAACAAAAGACATTCTGTCTGAACTTGAAATTGAACAAACGCGTTCGCTGTCATACAAACATACTATTTGGTATCTACTTACTACGAAAATTCGAAGTGAATATACCTACAAACTAGGTACGGGCATAAGATCATCAACGACTGCATTGTTTTTCTGGATAAAAAGTACCCTAATATGTCCTTCCTGTACCCCTGAAAATGACACTGTTTGAGTAGTTAAGGCGTAAATTCGTTTTAAACAAACTATCTCACATTTACATTTATAATATTAGTTAGGATTATTGACATCACAAAATTCCTAAGCTATAACCTACTCCTACACGACAAAACTGCTGAAATAATTGCTGCGGAAGATTTGAATTCCTGTTTTTGCTATATGATAGAGAGTGTAGCCTCCTCTACAGACAAGATAAAAATGTCCAATTGCGTCAAAAGATGTTGAAAAAAGTTTCCGTATCACATGTCCTACACGCTCCTCCGAGTTTTTTCAAATTTAACCTTCATTATGTTACTGGCAACGTCTTTTTTTTGGGAGCGTTTAAGATATTATCGAATTAAATCTAAATAAACATATAATTTTTAATTATCCAGACAAGGGGCTATTGTATTTATTATCAGTTGAAAGCCTGAACTACCTAGATTGGTATATATAAGCGGGTAAACCTTCGCCACTGTTACAAATTGTTTCTTATCAACAGATAACATGAAGACCATTGCAACGTTACTTTTAGGTAAGGCAGTTACGTTAGCTTTTATTTTTGTTTTTTGTACCTAACGAAACTGCAACGACAATAACTTTGTTTTATTTACTCAAGTCACTTTCATGGCTCTATCCTGGAGTGGCGGGGAAGCCCAGAATGGGAGTTGCGGTAATTGTTCGAATCAAGGGGAAATCGTTTGTGGTCATAATCCTATAAACAACGCATATGTAGAATTCACAAACGTTTGTTACATGAACCTATACAATTGTTTGACCGGAAACAGTAAGTATAGTAAAAGAAAGAGAAAGTAAAAGGAATATGTGAAAGAGAATGTGCTTTGAAAAATAACCAGAAAAATGAAATACAATCTTTTTGTAATGACGATACTAAAGCGGAACCCAATATTTTTTGCAGGGTACCATGTCGTCAGAGGTCGTTGTCCACGTAAGTCGGAATGCAAATTGTGTGACTTCTAAAATCTAAAACATTAGCCAAAATGACTAATAATTTCTCATCTTTTCACAGCTGTATCCCCGAGCTCTAATGAAACAGACACCTCTCTGATCGCCAGTGGTGATGGTCAGGAACGGATCAGATTATTTTGAAAACAAATTTGGATGATACTTAATACATATGTTCTATATGCAATAAATAAAAATATGTATTAGTTAATAAATTATTAAATTTACGTAAAATAGCTGTCATATTTATGAATTATTTTTTAAATAAGTATGAACGCAATATAACGTTATATCAACGCTATTTCATGCATTCGTGCATTTATAAAAATTATCTGTAGTTTGATAACGACACTACGGAAGCTATAACGTACTCCTACACGACAAAACTGCTGAAATAACTGCTGCCAAAGTTTGGAATTGCAGCAGCATGCAGCCACTGTATAACGTAATATTAATAAATTCGAAACTAATTAATTAAAATCTTCTAATCGTATACTAACCTTGCAGTCAATGGTTTTTCTATTTCTGTTTCTACTCATAATTTGTGACTAGATTTCACTCGTTTTAATTTTTCTATAGGTGGTCCGGGAAGAGTATTTTGGTCTGACTAAAAGATACCTTATGCCTTTTTCCGTACCATTGACAATGTGTGTACCAAATTTCATGATACGTTTTACCTGCGGCTTCGTTGTCGTCGATGTCCTAAATATGTGTCAAAGATCATCAACGTCCACGTAAAACTAATTTTTCCACCCCTCAGGAACAGTATTGCTCTTCTGGATCAAATATACCCTAAAATGTCTATCCTGTACTCCTGACAATGATGATTTATTGAGTTGTTAAGGCGTGAAGTCGTAATAACCAAACAGACAGTCCAACATTTGCATATATATATATAATATTGACACCACAAATTTCATAAGCTATAACCTATTCCTACACGACAAAATTACTGAAATAACTGCTGCTAAAGTTTAGAATTCCTGTTTTTGCTAGATATTAGAGAATGTAGAGTCTACAGACGAGGTAGAAAAGTCCAATTACGTTAAAAGATTTTGAAAGAAACTTCCGGCGCCATGTCGTACACACTCCTCCGAGTTTTTTCAAAATTTAACGTTCATTATGTAACTGAAAACGGTTTGTTTTTTTTGAGAATATTTAATACATTATCGAACCAAACTTACACAGAAACACTTAATTTTTAATTTTCCAGACAAGTGGGTATTGTATTTATTATCAGTTCAAAGTCTGAAGTACCTAAATTCGTATATATAAGCAGATAAACCTTTACCACTGTTACAAGTCCAAGTCCTTTCTTATCAACAGGTAATATGAATACGAGTTCAGTTTTACTTTTCGGTAAGGCATTTACTTTACCTTTTATTTTTGTTTCTTGCACCTAACGAAACTGCAACGACAATAATTTCGTTTTATTTTACTTAAGTCGCTTTCCTGGCTCTATTCTGGAGCTGCGGGGAAACCCAAGAGGGTTCTTGTGGTGATTGTTCGATAAAGGTCCGACCTTGTTGTGCTCGTAATGCTAAAAATGGCCATTACCTGACCTTCAGAAATAGTTGTTCCATCACACAATACAATTGTTTGACTGGCAACAGTGAGTAGCAAAATAGAAAGAACGTAAAGGGAATGTGCTTTGAAAAATGAAATATCATCTCCTACGAAAATTTTCTTACAATTACAATTCTGAATTAAAATCGCAATATTTTTTTGCAGATTACGTATACCAATATCCTGGAAATTGTACAAGTAAGTCGGAATACAATTGTATGACTTTTGTGAAAACGATAAAAACTGAAACATAAGCCAAAATGACTAATAATTTCGCATCATTTTACAGATAGTCCTTTGTAAACTCGAGCTCTAATGAAACAGACACCTCTCTGATCGCCAGTGGTGATGGTCAGGAATGGATCAGATGATTTTGAAAACAAATTTGGATGAAATTTAAAACATATGTTCTATATGCAGTGAATAAAAATATGTATTAGTTAATAAATTATTAAATTTACGTAAAATAGCTGTCATATTTATGAATTATTTTTTAAATAAGTATGAACGCAATATAACGTTATATCAACGCTATTTCATGCATTCGTGCATTTATAAAAATTATCTGTAGTTTGATAACGACACTACGGAAGCTATAACGTACTCCTACACGACAAAACTGCTGAAATAACTGCTGCCAAAGTTTGGAATTGCAGCAGCATGCAGCCACTGTATAACGTAATATTAATAAATTCGAAACTAATTAATTAAAATCTTCTAATCGTATACTAACCTTGCAGTCAATGGTTTTTCTATTTCTGTTTCTACTCATAATTTGTGACTAGATTTCACTCGTTTTAATTTTTCTATAGGTGGTCCGGGAAGAGTATTTTGGTCTGACTAAAAGATACCTTATGCCTTTTTCCGTACCATTGACAATGTGTGTACCAAATTTCATGATACGTTTTACCTGCGGCTTCGTTGTCGTCGATGTCCTAAATATGTGTCAAAGATCATCAACGTCCACGTAAAACTAATTTTTCCACCCCTCAGGAACAGTATTGCTCTTCTGGATCAAATATACCCTAAAATGTCTATCCTGTACTCCTGACAATGATGATTGATTGAGTTGTTAAGGCGTGAAGTCGTAATAACCAAACAGTCCAACATTTGCATAATATTAGTAAAGATTATTGACGCCACAAAATTCTTAAGCTATAACCTATTCCTACACGACAAAATTACTGAAATAACTGCTGCTAAAGTTTAGAATTCCTGTTTTTGCTAGATATTAGAGAATGTAGACTCTACAGATGAGGTAGAAAAGTCCAATTACGTTAAAAGATTTTGAAAGAAACTTACCGCGTCATGTCGTACACACTCCTCAGAGTTTTTTCAAAAATTTAACCTTCATTATGTAACTGGCAACGTCTTGTTTTTTTGGGAGCGTTTAAGATATTATCGAATTAAATTTAAATAAACACTTAATTTTTAATTTTCCAGAGAAGTGGATATTGTATTTATTATCAATTCAAAGCCTGAAGTACCTAAATTCGTATATATAAGCAGATAAACCTTTACTACTGTTACAAGTCCAAGTCCTTTCTTATCAACAGGTAATATGAATACGAGTTCAGTTTTACTTTTCGGTAAGGCATTTACTTTACCTTTTATTTTTGTTTCTTGCACCTAACGAAACTGCAACGACAATAATATTGTTTTATTTTACTCAAGTCGCTTTCGTGGCTCTATCCTGGAGCTGCGGGGAAGCCCAGAATGGTTCTTGTGGTACTTGCCCGAATGGTGGCAAACCTGCTTGTGGCGTTAATATGAGAACCAACGCTCTAGTGCTTTTCACAAATCAATGATACATGGACCTATACAAGTGTTTGTCTGGAAACGGTGAGTAATAAACTAAAGGGAATATGTGGAAGGTAATGTGCTTTGAAGAGTATGCAAGAAATGAAATACTATCTCTTAAGAATTCTTTTCTGCAATGACAGTACTAAAGTGAAATCTCAATATTTTTTGCAGACTATCGATTCGTCAGGTATGATGATTGTCCAGGTAAGTCGGAATGCAAACTGTGCGACTTTTCTAAAAACGATAAAAACTGAAACATTAGCCAAAATGATTGTAATAATTTTGATTCCTTCATTTTACAGTTTTGAAAACCCTGAGTAATGTCAAAGTGAATTAGGAAATCTAGAGAACCATTTTAATATGATTGCAAAATACTTGGAACAATTTACTTATAGTAAGTAAATTAAATCATAAGAAGTGATAACATTTGAAATAATCAAATCATTTATTTGCCGTACAGTAACAATAGAACAATCAGGACCAAAAAAGGGTGAAATAAATTTTGAGTGGATTACGTCTTTGATTACTCTATTACTTAGATAAAGGTTAATCCGATACGCTTTTCTTAACTTTCAGCGAGCAACGGTTAAGGCATGAATTTAACTAGTTTAATTTCTTTTTATAAACATTGTACAATAAATTTATTACCTACATGTGTAATACTAGAAATACCTACTTGTTTATTCAATTTTGCTTTATAATAATAAAATATTCATGATTTTCATTGTTTACTTTTTAACACGTGTTTAACTACGGATACCCTTAGTGTTTCTCAGGAATTTAAAAACCAAAAGTATTTTAAAATAAAACGATATTAAATGAACGAATATGTTTTAAAAAAGTCCAACATTTGTTCTCGACAAATATCGTCAATAACAGTCTAATAAGTGAAACAGGATTCTTTGGGAAAGCCCTGGAATATTCGGGTTGTACAGACGGAAAAGGCAGCCTACTAATTATATATATTGTAGCGGCAGATAAGGACCTACACGTGGATTTTTTATATATAATACTTAACTGATAACACATTAATAACAGTCATTCGTTAGAAATGAACAAAACAGGTGTCGGTAGTAGAAAATTCCATTTTCAGTTTTTTTAATATATATAGCATTCGAACCAGCAAGATAAACAGATTTAATTTTATTATTATTATTAACTACGTAATAAATTAGTTTCGGCCGAAGATAATAATACACATCAAGGTTTTCAAATCCTCCAAGATTTTGGAAAAAAGTTACAGTAACATGTTAAAAACACGGTCCTTGAAAAAAGTTTCCGTGACATGTCCTACACGCTCCTCCGAGTTTTTTCAAATTTAACCTTCATTATCCAACTGATACCGTCTTTTTTTTAGACTAATTAAGATATTATCGAGCCAAATTTAAATATAAACATTAAATTATTAATTTTCCAGACAAGTGGTTGTTGTATTTATTATCTATCAATTCAAAGCCTGAAGTACCTAAATTAGTATATATATGCAGGTTAATCGTTGCGACGGTTATAATTCTTCTTAACAAGTAATATGAAGACTATTGCAACGTTACTTTTAGGTAAGGCAGTTACGTTAGCTGTTTTTTTTGTTGGTACCTAACCGAACTGTAGCGATAATAATTTCGTTTTATTTTACTCAAGTCGCTTTCATGGCTCTATCCTGGAGCTGCGGAGAAGCCAAGACTTGTGCTGGATGTAAGCCTGATGGCAGAATTGTTTGTGCTCAAGAAGAAAACACCGGCGCTCTAGTGGCCTTCGGAAATGATTGTTACATGAAACTGTACAATTGTTTGATTGGAACCGGTGAGTAGCAAAATGAAAACAAAGTAAAGGGAATACGTGGAAGGGAATGTGTTTTGAAAAGTAACCAAAAAAAAATGAAATACTATCTCCTGAGGAAGTCTTTTTACAACGAAATACTAATGTAAAACCTCAATATTTTTTACAGACTACAGATTCTTGGAATATGGCCAATGTCCAGGTAAGTCGGAACGCAGATTGAGTGACTTTTCTAAAAACTGAAAGATTACTGTAGTAATTTTGATTCCTTTATTTTACAGATCTTAAATCCCTAAGTAAAGGCGAAACAGAATCCTTAGACCAAGCCAAGGCACAATAAATTTATTATCTACA